TGAAAGTTTATAAGTTTACAAAAGATTTCCACTAATTTCATACAAATCTTTTAAAAATCCACGAAATCCGCATAAGTCATCACTTTAGAAAAAGTACATTAAAGTCCTCAAAAGTTGGAATTGTATACACCCCCCATGGATAAATTACCAACACTACAAGCTTCTTCGGCATTAGCTTTGTACAGTCGTTGATTATTTCCCACGATATTTCGGATGAATTAGAGGAGATTGATCAGTTGATGTGAAAGGAGGATTCCCATACCACTCCACCCCCATCGGATTGCCAAGTTGCTTCTCTCAAACCTATATCCAAACTAGACAAGATGCTGATCAACTGCACCTCTCCTCGGAGGTGGGCGATGAGATCATCAAGTATATGGTGGAGGGCAAGACGCCTTCATATTCTCTTGAATCCAAGCTTAGTGGTACCCGTCGTGACTCTGTTATTCGATATGAGGCATTACAGAGGATCAGTGGAAAGTCCCTTGCAGGGCTGCCCTTAGAAGGATTCGATTATAACACCATACTAGGTCAGTGCTGAGAGATGACGATGGGTTACATTCAGATTCCGGTGGTGGGCATCGCTGGGCCTCTGTTGCTTGATGGCAGAGAATTCTCGGTTCCCATGGCCACCACGGAAGGCTGCTTGGTAGCACCAACAGGGGATCCAAAGCCATCTGTGTCTTTGGCGGAGCCTCTAGTGTAGTCTCAAGGGTCACGATGACCAGGGCTCCCGTTGTCGGGTTCGGCACTATCAAGTGCGATGCTGATTTGAAGTTTTTTCTCGAGGACCATCTCGATTTCGAGGCCTTGTCGCTTGTTTTCAACAGTACCAGCCGATTTGCCAGGCTTCAGTGCATCAAGTGTACGATTGCGGGCAAGAATCTCTACATCAGTTTCTCCTGAAGTACTGGGGTTACAACGGGCATGAACATGGTCTCCAAAGGAATTCCCAGACATGGATGTTATTGGCATCTATGGTAATCAGATATTCACTTCCTTTTTGTTCTCTCTTGAACAATTTCTAGTATTCTGAAGTTAAATAAGCTAATAAAATTTGTTGACATGCTAAATTCATTATATTTTACATTTCAGGAAACTACTGTTCAGACAAGAAATCGGCTGCTGCGAATTGGATTGAAGGTCGGGGTAAATCAGTTGTTTGTGAGGCTATCATCAAGGAAGATGTAGTGAAGAAGGTCCTCAAGACTGATGTTGAGTCCTTGGTGGAGCAAACATGCCCAAGAACCTTCATGTTTCTGCAATGGCTGAGCTCTGGGTGGCTTCAACGGCCATGCCAGCAATATTGTCTCTACTATACATATTGCCACAGGCCAAGATCCTGCACAAAATGTTGAGACATACAAAAATATTTGGTTAGAGAATCTAGCTTTTTATCTTTAGTATTTGAAATTAGAGTACTAAATCTACAAACTGTTTCAAAGTCACAATTCCAAACCAATATTCATTCTTCCAATGTAAAACTGATATGTGTGTGTGTGAACAATTAAGTAAACAATCATAAATTTACAAGTTGCTTCAATTCCCAATCATGTGTAGTCAAAGATATCCTTTCACTCTCGTATGACTCACACACCCCCAAACTTGTTCATTTTTCACTTTTTTCCCAGTGTGTAATCTAAGGTTGAATTTTTCATTATTATCATCACCCTCTCTAGTTCAGGTTGACTCTGCTAATTATAAGTCAACACATTAATAAACAAAGATTCGTCAATTCTTTGATTGCTTTGACCTCTAGGACTAGACTAGGCTAATAATCCTTCATTAAAAGTCAAGTCTTCTCAAATAAGTGTTTGGAGCTTAATTAGGGCATTTGGTGCGTCTTCTATTTCATGCATCTGCTTTTTTCAATTTTTTTTGCACTCTCTCCCTTAAGTTTTCTATATGACCCATGTAACGAGCTTTTGGTCGATGACTCCCAAATCAGATGATTTTTGGGCACTGAGTTGTAAATACCCTAATAAGCTTAATAACTCGAGTTACGAAGAGATGCCTTTTATATATTTTTCTACATCGATCAGTGCATTGCCCTCATTAAACACATATCAAGCAAACCGACCTCCAACTTAAGATTTACGTCCAATTTTATCCTCTTAATTTAAGACAATTCACAAAAAAGTTTTCACACATGGAATCTTTGTCCACATCTATATCTTTCTACAACAGCAAAATCACCACTAAACTGTGTTAAATTTGATTTGAGGATAAGTAATTTAGTATGATTTTGGTAAAGCATCTATGTCCAACTATATCAACATATCAATTATATGAATCAACTCATAGCATCACATTGTCCAACTTGATTCTAGTGCACGTATAATATCAAGTTTTGCAAGATTAAGTCTCAATCAATATATTATGCACCATATCCGCAATTTATAAATCAATACCAAATCTCAAATTTAATCACCATTGCCGGTCAGACTATCTAACCCACACAAGCACACAACCTAAAATAAGAAATCATATATTTTGTTAAAAATTTTCAATTTTTTTATATTATATATTGAAGCAATAACAAATACTCAAAAACACACGAAAAGTAGAAAGTCGATATTTGTTCTACCCCCAGACTTAAAACCGAAATTGTCATCAATGTCATAAATCATAAATAAGAATATAAGGGGACGATGAAGAAAATGAAGAAGGTACTCCCCGAATTTTTCTGTTGAAGGTATTATCCACTATGTATGACGGCTAGACAATATTCTTCACCATGCTTTCCTCTTGGTCTATGTTTGTTTGAGTATTTCGAGACGTCATGTTCCTGCTTATAGCAGTCAAATCAAATATTAAAGAACAAATAACCTAGAACATGTGTTATTTAGCCCAAACAATTGAAATAATCAACAATAAATTCAATGGCCTAAGGGGAAACATGATAGGATGGTGATACCCTATAAATTGAAACATGTCTAAGTCTAATACAAACTAATAATCAAAATAAATCTATATGTAATGCAGTATAGAAAGCATAATAAATAAAATGGTCAGAAAATTTGATTGCCTCCCAGCAAGCGCTTAATTTATAGTCTTTAGCTAGACTATACGAATAAATTGGTTATGGTGGCTCATGATAGAATCTTGCAACCTTACACTCCTTTCAATTTCCAGCCTTGCATCCTCTTTTTGCCCTTCAAACTTTGAGCTCTCTGTTTTCCTTTCGAACAAGGCTCCCTAGACATTTAGGTTTTATCTCATTTGACCCTTGTTGAACTTTTTCAGCAACAAATTTGGCTTCATCCAGGACTAATGGTTATTTAGGTGGATTATATAATTTAAAGATTTTATGTGCATCCTCCATCCCCATAATTAGCTCACCATTTTCCATGTCAATCAAAGTTCGACTTGTTGCTAAAAATGATCGACCTAAGATAATTGGCATATCGTGGTCATCTTCAAGGTCCATAACAAGGAAATTTGTAGGAAATATCAGCTTTTCAACCTTGATGAGCACATCCTCAACCTTGCCCCATGGGTATTTGATGCTCCTATCTACCAGCTGCAGTGTCACATTCGATCCTTTGACTTTCTCAACTCCTAGTTTCCTAAAAGTAGACAAATGCAATAAATTTACACTTGCACTTGTATCATATAAAGCATTAAAATGAAATTATTTGCCTAGTGAAATAGGTAAAGTGAAACTCTCTGGGTCTTTTAGTTTTGGTGGCAATTTATTTTGTAGTCTTGCACTACTCTCCTCTGTCAATGCCACTTCTTTCCAGTCTAGAGGTTTTCTTTTCTTAGATATCATGTCCTTTAGGAACTTTGCATACATCGGGATCTGGCAGATTGCATCGATGAATGAGACGTTGATGTGGAGCTTTTTCAACATATTCAAGAACTTCTCGAATTGATCATTGAGTTTTCTCTTTTGCAGTCTTTGTGGAAAAGGTAGTGATGGTACAAATTCTTTAGTATGAACAGTTTATTCAACCTTTGGATCCTCTGATACTCTTTCTATCTCTGTTTCTTTGTTTTGCTCAAATTCCTACAATTGTTTCTCAACTGTGGAATGTACCTTTTATTTTGTAGCAACTGGTTTCTTTATATTAATCTCTGGTAGTTCGAACTCCACTGAGGGTAGTTATTGCCTCAATTTGTTCTTCCTCTACGACCTTCACTACCATTACCTACTATTTGGGATTTATCTCAATGTCCAGTACTCCTGGTGGTCTCTTTGAAAGTGCTTTCGCTATTTGTCCCATCTGATTTTCCAATTTTTTATGGCAGCTCCCTGAATTTGTAAGGTTTTATCTATTCTTTGCATGTGTGGGATAGATATCTTTGCCAATTTAGTAACAAGATTTTCTAACGAAGATTTATTTTCAGTTTGCTGAAAACCTGGTGGTGTAGTCTATTGTGGCTCAATCTGAGCTCTCAGATTGTTGCTCCATTGGAAACTTGGGTGATTCCTCCAACTTGGGTAATAAGTGTTAGGATTTTGATTGTATTTTTGTCTTTGAAAATTTTGAGCATAATTTACATCATCTACTGACTGAGCAAAAAGACTACCCAAAATGCAGTCAACACTCTCATGATTCCCTCCATAATGCTTGCATTTTGATCCCATTATCTTAGCTGCATTCATTTGATCCACCTTCTGTGCCAATGATGCCAACTTTACTGAAATTGCTGTCAAAGAATAAACTTTGAATACCCCAGTAGCTCTGTTTCCACTCGTCCTTTCAGTAGGCTAAAGTGTATTGGTAAATGCCAGATCCTCCATGATTTGGTAAACTTGATCCGCAGTTCTTTTTGTGATAGAACCATCGCATGTAGAGTCTACATTAGCCCTGTTTATCAGATTCAGACCAATGAAGAAATACTGTGCCTGAAGCCATTTCTGCAGTCCATGTTGTGGGTATTGGCGAAGTAAATCCTTGTATCATTTCCAAGCATCTAAATAGCATTCTGAGTATAGTTCTTGGAATGTGGTAATATCGTCCCTCAGCTTTGCAATTCTTTTCGGTGGAAAATATTTGCTAAAAAATTTCTGACTCAATTGGTTCCATGTAGTGTGCTCTGAGGTGGACAAGTGTCTAACCACTCTCTGGTTGATTCTCTCAAGGTGTATGGGAAAAGCCTCAGTCTGATTGATTAACTGGACACCTCTGGATACTCGATAGTTGCATACATCTCCAGAAATCTTGATATATGAGCGTTGGGATTTTTCGAAACTCTCCCAAAGAATTGTAGCGCATTTTGGAACATGTTGATCATATCAATCCTCAAGTGGAAGTTTACCAGACCAAAACTATGCTATATTGGCTTTTCACAACATGTGGAACCATATACTCTCCCATTAGCCTTGCATTTTCATTAACTGCAGCCACATTCGGTTGTGCTGCTTCTAGATTAGCCCCTATGACTATTTATTCGGATTTCCCTCTACCATATCTTTCTCTTTCTGTTTTTGGTGTGTTTCCAACTGCTATCTTTTTCGAAGGTTGAATGTTCGTTCGATCTTTGGGTCAAATTGAGCAAGATCACCAGTTCTCGAACTTCGCATACAAGGTCCTGAAAAAGTACGCGGGAAACACTATAATGTTTTTTTTAAACTATGCTAAAAAAATAGTAAAATTCTGATTAAAACTAAAATTAACTAAACGTATCAAAAACAGTAGTCCCCGGCAGTGGCGTCAAAAACTTGATCTTTTGAAAACTCGCAAGTGAAAGGGATCATGAACAAATAATAAAGTAGTGAATAGAGTGTCAAATCCACGAAAACTACGTGTTTGATTGAATTAAAATTAATTGCAACTTTAGTCGAATAACAAACAATTTTTTTGAAATTTCTATACTAATATCTAAATTATCGGTTAAACTAATGAAAGTAAGTAAATGTGTTTTTATTCAAATATGTGAAATTATTGCTAAGATGTCGAATCCCCCTTGTTAATCTATTTTTAACCCAATGAAGTAAAGTGGCAATTTGTAATTAATTTGTTGGTTAGTGTTCCTAATTTAATTGAAAACATCTCTCGATAGTTATCAAATATATTCCTCTCATGTGACCTTCCCCTCTCTCGATAAAAGATGCGAATATGATAAATGCATTAAACGATCTAGAATGCATAAGAAAACCATGTAAAGGATAGAGGTATGTCTTTATCCCCTATCGGACTTTACAATATTTATTATTTTTAGCTAAAAACCTATTATTTCTATCGATAATAATAGATTCTAATAAATCATCTCAATTAGTAGCTAATTAATTGAAAAGTATTAAAACAATAATAAACATCCAAGAAAATAAGCATATTAATCCTCAAAATAATTAATTAATATTAAAAATTTCAAAACAAGTGTTAATATCATCCTAACAATGTACTAA